GAGTACTTTTACCACCTTTCTTGGCAGACTGCTAGACTACGTGCTGACTGTAAAACATATCCTAAGGTAGATTTGACATTTAGCCATTATCAACTAGTGGGTATTATTCCTTCGAAATTCTTAACCGCTAGGAAATTTGCAATCTAGTGTACTTTACAAGGTGGACTTTGGAGTACAATGCGCGTCTTTAAAGTACTTAAGTTGTCAAGTCACGGCCCTCTGGCTGTGCTTGAGCACAAAAATTAGGGTTGATCTAGGCGCTTCCTTTCGTTAGTAGTACGTCGGCAACTTCGAAGAATCGTTCCTGGGCCGGGAATGGTGGCTAACGGTAGATCTTGTTGAACTTTCCTTATTTGGGATTTTGTCCACTCTGTGAATAATAAGTAGGAGAGGAGGACTCAAGGTGCATCAGGCCTCTGAAATCCGCGCATTTCACACACCGTAGCTGCACGCGACGTGAATGTTGTCACTTTGGAGCGAAGATGGCTGACATGTGGTAGGTTTTCAATTGAGGAGAATGCGTGAGCATCTCCACAAGTCCCCTCTTGGGGAAGTGGGATGAATTTACAGCACTCCGGGCATGCAAAATATACTGGTGCCCCGGCTTCTATCTACATCCTTCCCCGGCACCGTGTTCATTGCTCCCAAATAACAATTTACCGTCATCTTCTTTGACCTCCCTCTCGGTTAGTCACAACTCACGCCGGGAAGTGGGTCAGTGGGAGCAATGCTGAATTACGTTTGAACGTTCACGAAACCATTTTTATGCCTTGTCGTGACTTTAGAGAAGCCTTAGGGTCGCAAGCAACCCCTCTTCAGTTGCCCCTCCAATGCCCCGTACGGACGTGGAATGGCAAAATTTGCTCTCTTTTTACTAGTAGTACGTTTGGTTTACTTAAAATTTGACCAACCAATGGTTGGCTTTTGTGTGTTAATTTGTTCCTAAACACTTTTACCTGAAAAAAAAATGTATGCTTATTGTCTTATTTTGACTTTTTTTCCACTATTTTCTGATTGGTTGAACGGATTTTTAGCCAATAGCAACAATTCTCTACTAATAATTTGAAAGGTTACCGCCTTTTACCAGCACTTTGACAATGCCTGCATCCCTCAGCAGATCGAGTTTGGGTCCAGTGGCAGATTCAGTCAACTCGGAGACCTTCTGGTACTGCGTAACCCAGACGACATGGCCTGACGCTATTGACATTTTAACCATCATTCTGGAGATATCGGGCCTCCTTTTGAATATCCTTGCTGCCATTCTCCTCCTTCGTGTCACTGAAGGTAACAAAGTGAGCATTGTCCTTCTTCGGACCATCTTCTTCAACAACATCATCGATGTAGTAATCAAGTTGTTGGGTGATGTCACCCCGTCACGCGTTGAATTTAGCATTGTGGAGATAAATTACGCCATTTGTATGATCTGGGATTCACGATTCCTCTACTGGCTCTTCAATAAATTTTCCATTGAAGCCTTCGTCTTCTTCGCTGTTGATAGAGCTCTCACTCTAGACGGTTCTCAGTCCCTTCGGTTTGTACCCGTGGAGTCGCGTCTCACACTCTATCAATCCTGTATCTACATCTACGGCCTCCTTATCACCGTTCCCCAATTCTTCTCCGTCAATCTAGAAGAAGGTGGATGCTCATGTGCTCCCACTACGGTAAATATACCCTTCCTAGCCGCCATTTACGCGCATGTCTTTATTCGATTTGCTCTCCTCGTTGTTTTGAATGGTGTAATCGTACTGTACTGCGCCGCTCGAGTGATTCACTGGGTCAAACAGACACCTGTCAAGCATCAAGTTGATGAACTCAACTTCCTTTACTTTAAAAATCCCTCAGAGGCGGAATTGAAGCGCCTAGAGGCTTTGCACAGTTGGAGAACTCCCTCTATGTCCATCCTCCCGCTTGGTATATGCTTCATTATTACTTTCGGTTTTGACGCGGGCTATCAATTTCTCAGTGGCACTGGATTGACAACCTATGTGATTGGTGGAGCTGTGCAGAGGATGGGAACTTTCATGCTCCTCGTGTTCACCAATTTTTTGCCCTTGATGTTGATGTTCGTTCTACCGGTTCTACGTTTCTGGGTGGAGGATACATTTGAAGCGTTGGTACGGCGGAAACGCAAAGGCGATGCCGATCATTGTTTGCATTGACATTTGAAATCTAACCTCATGTCTGCGTGTCACTTTTGAATTAATCTGTGACAGAACTGCTGAACTTTTTTTCGCCGCCTTTTTGGGCGTCAAGTCGGAAGGGGTGCCTCGTTACCTCAGTCCACAGTAGGGGGGGGGGGTTCAAGTAACACCGACAAGGGGGGGGGGAAGATTTGGCGTTTGGGCTTGCCCAGCCTATAGGCTACCTAGGATGGAAGGATCTCTTTGCTTTGTCTTGTGTTCACCGTCCCCTTTAAAAAGACTGGTTTATCTTTTTTTCTGACTTTGCGTTGGCCAGGCCGTCATCTCTAGGCGTTAGGTGCCTTGATTCACTGTTCTTTGGACTGTGAGCTACAAACTCACAGTGACTGAGCGTTTCTTCCACCGCTATGCACTGATTCCAGGAATCCCGGTTTGACCTGAGCAACCCTCTGCAATTGCAGATGACCCTTACCCCTCAATGTGGGATAGGGTTGCCTAGTTGCCTAGTCATTAATCTGGGTTCCGTTCAGCACCTAGGGGTGGCCCAAGTGGCATCAGCTCTTCCCATATTCCCCGTCTCTTCAAGCCACTACCATTGCAGTCAGAAGGCTGGTAAGAATGCCGAACACCGACGCCACCCTAACCCTTCCTCCGATTGTAACCACTAGATGTCTTCTCTTTTGGCGTATTAAGCGAGTTTGACTTTTTTTTTGGTCCAGTTTCGCTTACCTCAGCCATTGACAAGGCATCGGAGATGCTGGAGGGTGATATCTTAGAGACGAGAAATCGTCTTGAAGTACCGCCGTCGATGAATTTGGAGATCTTCTTACTGCGATAACATCTCCACGAAGGAAATGCCATGCAACGGAGTGCCATTCTTTTAAAATCGCTCGTGTCCTTCAAATCTGCCGTGAATTGGCCACCAGATGGGTGGCACGGCCAGCTGGAAGACATGTCTCCCTCTAAAGCAGCAACTTCTTTGTTGCCTATTTTTTTATCTATACCGGGCGTCACAAATATGTGACAAGAGTTAGGCCGAATCATGTACCGCTAGTAAACTCAAACCAATTGTACTTTTGGGCTCTTGGACTTGTCATTAGTTAAATGTCAGTTGTCATTGCATGGACCAACTAATTATCTAATCTGTGGTGGTCGACCAACATGTCCAAATCGTCCTTCACATTGGTGGCATGGAGCCCCACCACAGCAGTGTCAGTGCCTCGTCAATGTCAACCCGAATGACAGGGTTTCATTCCCTTTTGAAATGCTTAACAAAGGGAGGAGAGGGAGATGATGGGGATGGAGGGGGCTACACAACCCATCGTTCAAACTGTGCTCAAAATTTGCGAAAATTGCTGCATTTAAACAACGCCCACTTGGAAAAAAATGACCTCAGAGATCGACAACAAAGCGTCTTTGTTCTTGCTTTGTAAAAAAACTATTTGTATTTGCTAAAACCTGTTTTTGGTGGTCTTTGTGTGCTTGCTTTAGGTACACCATCGATATCGGCGCCAACAAAGATATCAAAGACTCCTCTGTTTGCCCCTACCACACCCAAGACTACTTTAAGTAGGAGAAATATTTTTTTCAAAAGATATGAATATCGGGTGTTTTATAAATATAGAGGATGGCAATTTGAACATAAAAAGTCTGAGAGTAAGGAAAATGACAAAGCTTAAAATTTTCTTGAATGTGATGAGGCTTCTCATCTTTTATTAAAAGGTATGTAAATTCTGAAATGTAGTGGCCGTAGAACAGGCAGTCAGGTAAAGTGTGGGAACTAAATATTCTGTACCGGTTAGGCTTTACCTTGGCAACGGGAATCGACGGAGAACAAGGCAAGAAACGGAAAGCATTGAAAGGTAAACCTGCTTCAAAAGGTCGTGTATTTTAATGCGGATAGTCCCATCTAAGAAGACTTTCAACAGAAGAGTTAAAATACCGCCTGCCAGTGGTATTTATTCCTTTCTCACATTCAGTGTAAGGCCTATTCACAATTAAACAGGCTGGTTGTTTAAGTGGCCAAACAACACCTCCTCAAGGACTCTACTGGCTGAAAAGCACCCTAAAGAGAGAAAGAGAGAAAAGGTAATTGATGACAAGTATAAGCTTTACAAATTTAGCGCGGTTAAATACTTCCCTTGTCAATTAACCAGCCCTCTAGGCATCGAGTAGCGCACGAAATGCATCCACTGTAAACATCGAAGCGATTTGAGTAAAACAAATACTGTAGGTCGGTTCTTCCACAATCGGGTTCCCAGGTAAAATAAAAGCTCCTGATGCAACGCAATTGTCAGGTGTGGAAGATGCCTTCTCTCCTCTGTACCTCGTCGGGTGGACTGGCCTTCTAAGTATTAGAGCTCCTGTCGTCTTCAGGGAAGTCTCGGGGTGCCATATTGGTGGCAGAATAAAGGGAACCCGACCCTAAAGGACATCTGTCCTGACTTCTGGTGTTGGACGATAAAGCTTAGGGGGGTGAAAGGGACACATACGCTGAGGATGTGGGGATTGGTGATGACTCCATACAGACGGGCTACAATTGACGTCCACCTTCGGCAATCACCACAGTCTCGTATTCTGTCGAAAAAGATATTAACAACTGAAGCGACACTAGCCGTGAACCATCAGGAAATGTTTCTTTACACAGTAGTCCCACTACACCTGCATAAATCTGCCGATGAAGTAAATTCGCGATACCTCCTCCATTTCCCTACAAGCTGGATAGAGCCCAGTGGGTACGACTAGTACGTAAGTGAAGTTGGTGGGATCGCTGATGTGGGTAGCCACATAAATAATTATTTTCTTTCAGGGAGCCATATAATGCATAAGATGGCTTTATAATTCGTTGATTGTTTGCTTAACCATCGACTTTACTAAAGGGCCACTGTGACTCGGTCAATGTATCTTTGCCGTGAACTAGACCCGGGTCATGCTAGCAGTACTAATGCTTTCTGTTTGTTGAGAAGGTAATATTCTTCTTGGATTTTACTGCTTCTTTTGTCTTCAGGGAAGTCTCAAAGGGCTACATTAATGGTGATATCGGCGAGCCTCGCTTATCTCCTCTTCCCTCACTTTTAAACCTTAAGGGCTAGTTTGTATTGGCTATTGTACTTTGCATAGTAATGTGGCCTTTGGTCAACGCCAAAAGCTTTATTACCTTCCGTATGCCAAAAATATGTGTTGTAATACGATGGTGGTGTATATGTCGGTATTGGTGAGGCCCCACTTTTAAACTTTGGAAATTGCCTTCTTGTACCTCACTGGATGGGCTGGTCTTCGTACCATACCAGTGGTCCAAACACCTCCTCTGTGCTGAACATACATATTCCACCCAAGTATTGTGTCTTTTTTCATCTTCAGGGAAGCCTCGGGGCGCTACACGAGGGTTCGTTATAAAACACTAATTGCCTTGGAAATAAAAGGGATTGTTAAACAATTTGGTTTAAAAAAAAAAACAGAAAAACGGTTTGTTTTATAACAAATTTTAATTCTCTGGTTTTGAGTAACTATTAATAACCCGATATTCATAATGCAATTAAGCCGAGCATACTTGTACGCAAAATAAATTAGGTCCTCGCATTTAATTAATAATTTGTGCGGTGTCTAATTAAAAATGTGGATTTCACTTCAGGTAAGAGACAGCGGTTTATCAGGCCGTCTTGTTTGCCTAATTCGCAAAGGACGCGCTTGTTTTATATGAGCCCTCTTTAGCTGTTGCCACAGCGATGAGTGGTAATAGTAGGTTCCTACTAGTAAAATTCAATTCCTTTGCCAAAAATCGCACGCAAAAACCTTTTTTAGCTTGTAATAATGCATTACTTGTCTAGACGGATTGTCTAGAGTCTTACGGTGTAGAGAGGCAGACCAATAATTTTTCCGAGAATGGAAAAGTTTATCTTACTCAAAGTAAACGGTTATTAGACTATGGCATCCATTGTTTAAACAAGTCTAGTCTAACAAATATTTTGCGACGCAATATTGCTTACACAGTCCGTGAAACGTGGGTGTTGCGTTCCTAGCTGCTTCATGTTTATGGGATGTTATCTTCGCCTCGCTGTGTCCTTAAAGGCCTCTTTTGATTTAACTTTACTGGAGAGCAAGTATATTTTGGAAAAGTGATTATTTTGTGTTTGTTTCCCACCGAGCACTCACATGTGTAGTAAGCAATTGAGTAGAATTTGTTACGGCGCAAAAATGATTACCCATAGCCCATGAATTTTAAATTGTTCCTTAATACACTCACTGAAAGCGGGCTTTTGGTTGCAGAAAAGAGTTCAACTGTATAAAATTGTCTTTTTTGTCTAGCAGTGCTAAAGCCTGCTATGTCGAATCTTTCTCCGGCACAAATGCAAGAAATCTCCGAGGCTTTCGCACTTTTCGACAATGACAAAGACAACCGCCTTTCTCCCTACGAATTTAAAGTGTGTTCCTACTTTGTATTACTTTTTCCTCCTTGTTTTACCTTAGGTAGCTCTTGTAGCCCTGGGCTTTGAACTCAAACCAATGGAAATTTCTGAACTCCTTCAATCCGTCGACTTGACAGCAGATGATAAAATTGCCTTTAGGGACTTCTTCTCCATAGGTTAGAAAATTCTGCCCATTGTCTTTTATGTAAAGCGCCAGGCATGTTTTACGGCCTATATTTTTAAAAATAGTAAAAAAATTGATCCAAGAACGCGACCCCATCACCGAAATCGTTCAAGCCTTCAAACTGTTCGACGAGGAGTCAAGCGGCAAAATCTCCTATCGAACGCTCAAGAAGATTGCCAAGTAAATAGTTTTTACTTATTGTTTGCTAAGTAAAACGTTTATACGACGCATCAACGGTGTGCCTCCACATAGCCGATAACTCGTACAATACCACGTTACACTTTCTCAAAACACTAGTAATTCACTTCCTCTTGGTAAAACATTACAGATTCATGAATTAAGACAGTTGTCGAGCATTGTTAAATTCTGTGGCAAGGATTGCATAACTAGGCCACAAAGTAAGGACCTTCTATTTCCCACCCTCCTGGCATTGAATTACCTCGTGGCTCTCCCATCACTCACAGGCAGCCATCAGATTGGTTAAACATCAAATTAGTGAGAATATAATCGTAGTTACAGTGGTGTGGGTGTGTGACACGACTTCTGCTGCCTTTTCCGCCTTGTCACCCAGAACAGTGGTACCCCTTCCCCACGTTCCCCTCTCCTCATTCATTCACCTCATTCGACTGACAATTTAACCCTGAGTAGGAGACCACTGCAGTGTCAGTGCTTGTCACATACATGCAGGTTCACTCAGTCGAAGGTATCTCACTTCCTCTCCACCCCCCTCTATCCCGACCAAATCCCTGTGTGTGCAATTGCACGCGCCTACTTTCCCACTGCGTGAAGGCGAGTGGCTGGATGTGTTGAGACAGTCGAGGGAGTGAGACGTCGTGCATGAGTGAGTGAGAACTCTCCACCCAGAATGCATTGTGGCTGGTTAGATGACTGGTGCCAGATATGCCCCAAGGAAAGTGAGGGATGGTGGCCCCTGAATAGCTGAAGGGCTGATGAGTTGAGTGTTCCATCCGTGTAGACTGTCCTGCACTGCCTGAAGTTCTCTGTCGCAACACCAGTGGGGAGCAGAGAGATGTGGTTGGCAAAATGTCTAGTTATTCATTGACAAGGCAATTGGATCGTAAACAGATGCCGTTACACACACACATTCGTTTCCTCCACTTCCACTCACTCACTCGCTATGCCACCGGTGCCGCCACGAGCTACTACGGTTGCCTGACTGCTCGATGAAGGGTGTGCCGACTCCACTTGAAATGCCCTCAACGTGCAAGTTGTGAGTCTTCTTCGTCAGTCATGGTCCGACTTGACAATACACTCAGCCATTCTCCACACGGTGGAGTGGAGGAGGAGGAGGAGGAGGAGGAGACGAGGCAATTCAGTGACAACGTAGTCCGCTATCCCTCATTACAGCCTCATTCCACAAAGGGAGCAATACCACCAACACATTGCACTCCCCCGCACCCATCTCCTCCCACCTCACCCTGTTGACGAGATGCCTTGTCTGCCTACCCACTCCCATGCCCTGCACCACAGACATACAAACCAGTGGAGGCCAGAAATTCGGCCATTTGGCAACCGCAATGACTGCAAATTGACAATCACATGCAAGGTTGCCAATTGGAGACCTCATAACTCACCCACACTCACACTCCAACTGTCTGGGTGTCTACACCTCTGTCAGAAATTGATGACGCAGTGTTAAGCCACTCACACACACTCGGTTCTTCTTTGTCGCTCCCAACCAACGACACGCAGACAAACTGCAAATTCCGCCGACAAAAGTGTTTTGCCACTACTGGCCCAGCTGCCTCCTTGCCCGTTTCACCTCTTCTTACTCTCCCCTATGTTTCCTCTGCATCCTCTCTTGCACAAACTCGCAGCGACAGCACTCGCAGCACTCTCCCTCCTTATTGGCTGACGCATTAGTCACTACACGAGGCTATTTCTGGACGAAAACAGTGGATGGGAATGCATAAAACGACTTCGGTGCACACCTTGCACTCCTGTCGCAGCAGGTGGAAGGGAAGGTGTTCAGTCACCATTCCATTGTGTGAACAGCATCGTCTCGTGGCCTCCATGTCAGTCGAACGCACATCCACCCGAAGAACTAATTGCTTCCTGGCAATCGACGAGCGAGGGAACACCTACACGTTGAAACAAGTCACCTCGCCCTTTTCCGCTCACCCTGTTGTTATACCCGGTCACATGACCCTGTCTATCAGCCACCCACCTCACCCCTCACCAGTCACCCACTTCGTCTCTCACCTGTCACACCACTAACAATGCCTAATCATTCGAAATAGCACTACTCCCCATCTCTGTCACAGACTGCGGTCCAGAGAGGATCCACGATCCAAATCAATATCATGTAAACTCGCCAAAAGGTAAAAATACTACTGAAACAAGTGGTTCCACACTGTGAGTAGTACATTCACACGCTTGGGTGGACAAAAAAAGACATAATTTACCTATTTTTCCCTCTCAACTGATTACCACACTACCCTCGATTTCCTGCTCCTCAGCCCCAACAACTGGAAGGATAGCCAACTGATGAGGACGACTCTATGTTTTAAATGAGTAGACAAATGAGTAACGAATAGTTGAGGAAAATAAATTGTACGATAGATGATGGACGCATCCACGGCTTCTGTCCAACCCCTTATTCATTAGCATTGGGTGAATATACAACTTAAATAAGTTGCTTTGCCGTGTTTACAACACCACAAACCCACTTCTTCCTCCCTCTCAGCTAGTTGACTCAGTACGCCCATTTCTGCTCCAAAACACGAACAATTGGAGACACAACCAACTCCCCAGGGCGACACTTTGTTAAATAAGCAGACAAACAAGGGGTGAATCGTTGTATCAAGAAAATTGCATAATAAGTGTTGGTCGAGGTGCAGTAACACCGGTTAAAGGCAGTCCCGTGTCTCCTTCACTGAAGGTACTCACGAACTCCTCCAGACGATCTAGAAATACGCACACAAACTCAAAATTATCGCCTAGTTATTGTCTAGCTAATCAAGGCCAAATCATTTAATTTGTACCGTTTTTTATTTACAACGTATAAGGATGGTAGTATTTTGTTACAAAATAATTTTCGATGTTTTTTTATTGATAGTCAAAACATTATCTGATGAAAAAGGTAAGCCTACTCGGTCTGTCACTGCATCCGTCAAATTTGTCTATCAAATATTTAACTGATTGCCTGACAAGAATCCATTTGACGCTAGAAAAGTAACGTATCAAACACTCTAAGAATTTTTTTCTTGTGTACAATTTTTTGACATCTTGAGGTGTATTATTAAATGTACTACTGACGGCTGTATTTCAGTGACAAGAGTCAATCAAGTTGGGTCATTTTAATCCAATTTTAGTTGCTATTCTATGTTTCTTAAGTACCTTAGTTAGTAAACAGTGCCCTCTTCACCCATCTACGAAGTCATATCAACCTGTCATTCCATGTGTCATAAAATTTTTAACACCTTTGACGCTCCAGGAACCACGTGTCATGCTAAGTGTATTGGCGTGTATTATGTCAAGATCAACTATCAAGCGTATAGAGTTATGCAGTTGATAGTTTACACCCACGTCATCTGGAAGTGAGCGAGTCATAACGACAGCTGGGCTTGTGTAGACTGACAGATGGCAAAAAAATTTAGATTCTTTTCAATTTTTATCTATCCCTTTTACATATGCCGATATCCTATTTACTATCTGTCAGGCTGACCTGTCAGTGAAAAATAGCTTTTGTGTTTCAAAAATCCTCCTTTGAAATTGACGAAGTAAAAACGAACAAGCAAACGATCAACCGCCGCATCTGTTAGCTACACATGAGTTGAGGCACACACACCTCTTCATCCCAACGAAGCTTTACATCGTGTGTATATCTGTGGTGGAATGCAGACACAGCAATCTTATGACAACCACCCTCGATACCCACCGGAATAGCTCCATTGTGTGCTAAAAAAAACCGCCCTTTAGAATAATAAAGTGCTGCCTCCTCCACTCCATCCGCTTTGCCTTGGTGATTGACACTTTTTTCTCCTGACAATTACAATCATCACACTGGGGAGAAAAGCAGGAGTGAGAGGAAAACTTCGACACCAAAAAAATAAACAAGCTGACTACCGAAAACGCTGCGTTTACAGGAGCTACTTAAACAAAGACCGGCCACGTGGCTGTACGCCTTCTCTGTCCCGCCCTCCACTCGGCGGTGCCTTTGTTTGGCCACAGGCATGCGTCATTGTCCTCCCTCCGCCTGCGCCCACCTCGTCTGGAGAGGCTAAAAATTGGGACATCTCATTGCTGGGGCCATGGCTACTTTTCGCCCTGGTGTAGCGATATTTTGATTGGATGTGGACAGCCAATTTAGATGGCATCTTGGAGCAGCAAATTAACGCGCTTCTACTACTCATACACAAAAACAGTAGAGCAAAGTCGTCACTCATATAGGTGTGTCGTTCTAATCGAATCAGTACAGCCGAATTTATCCAAGAACGCGTACCAACCCAGGCCTCCTGCCTCTCCACTCGTAAAAAGATTTGAGAGATCGGCTGAAATATTATGTCTCCCACATGGCCACCAAAATCACTGATGTATTACCGGCGGCCTCGTGGGACGCATATTTCTATTTCCGCGTGCATGGGGTGTCCGCGATCAGACAGGCGTGGGGTGTGGTGCATCGTGCGCTGGGAAGTGGACACCTCCCACGCTGGGTGGGATCAGGGCCCTGTTGTCGACTATCCTTGGTCGCCTGATGAACTACGGCTCCCAGGGTTGAAGTGTTCAGTCGATATCCACCGATGCCTTCAACAGGGAAATTTATCGCCACTTGTTTTGGCCATACACGTTCAGTATTCCCACGATTGGAAGGAGTAAAAACTTCAATGAACTGTCTAATGACTCTCGCACATATCGCCCTGCCTAGTAGCCCCCCCCCCCGTCCCCTTTCCATTATTTAATTTACAGATGTCAAATCAAAAGCCTCCATTTGACTGGAACAAATTGTTCATTCTAGTAAAACAAAAATGTCGGGCAATTCAGCAACTAGATTTGGTTGGAACGCTTTTAACACCATCAAACAACTACACTTAATTTTGTTTTTATCTCCTCTAGAGAATTGGGAGAAAATCTCTCTGACGATGAACTGCATGTCATGATAGACGAATTTGACAGGGATGGTGACAGATCCAGTAGGTCAATTACTATTTTTTTGTTGATTTA